AAAATCACATAAAGCCATATTATAACATCGACTGAGATAAAGAATAAAATGAAATATTAAAATCACGATGTATCTCGCTGCATTGCGCGAGTACACTTCTAGTCTATACTAAATTATAAAGCATTTGGTAAAATTCTTAAAAACTATTTTTAATGTATCAGGTACTGTTTAATGATATATATTACATAAAATTCAAGATTACAAATAAATGGTCCATGAGTACAACTTCTTAAAGTTATATGTTTGAATTCATATAACTGATTGATAAACATATATAATCAGATATAAGGTAAACATTTCATTTTAAATATAAAGGATCTAAAGTATAATTAAGAAAATATTAAATTCTAATAAAATATTTAATTATCATCTTTATAAAATATTATATTATTAAACCTAAAATAAATCAATTCGTTATTAAATCTAAATTAAATTATAATAAAAAGATTGAACTAAAAATATATTTATAAAAAACATCATATTATTAGATCTAAAATAAATTACTTCATTATTTATACTATATTATAAGTCATTTGATAAAAACTCTTAAAAACCATTTTTTATACATGAGGTATTGCTTATAGATGCATATTATTTAAAATTCAAGATTACAAATAAATTGTCTATAAGTACAACTTACCAAGCTCCATATTCAAATTTGGATAACTAACTGTAGATAAATATAATCAAATACAAGATAAATTCTCATTTTAAATATAACATCTAAAATATAATTAGAATAATTATTGAGTTCTAACAGAATATTTAGTTATTATTTTTATAAAAATTTTATTATTAAACCAAAAATAAATTATTTTGTCATTAAACCTAAATTAAATTATAATAAAAAAAATTGAATTAAAGAAATTACGAACTTTTATATATATATATATATATATATATATAATTTTTATGATCTTTAAATTTATATTTTATTAAAAAAAATATTATTGATTGCTCAAAACCACATAAACCAGTAATAAAACATAGACAGATACCAAAAAAAATAAAACAAAACATTAAAATCAAGATATATTTTGCTGCATTGTGTGAGTATCATTCTAGTTAAATCTAAATTAAATTATACTAATAGTTGAACTAAAAAATTGTACAAAAAAACGAGAACTTTTTTAAATTGTTAATTTGATACTAATATCGATAGAAATTTTTATGTGTCTTCAAATTTATATTTTATTCGAATATAAAAACACTATCGTTTTCTCAAAATCTTACAAAATCGTATTATAAAACAAACTATTAAAAATCGAAATGTATCTCGTTGCATTGTGCAAGTACACTTCTAGTATGTTTTTAATGGTTCTTGTCTTACGATGAACTAAGTCGTTAATATAACCATAAGGTCGATTTATTTCTTGAACCAAACTCATTATAAGGGTGTGTTTGGTACGCAGACAGGACATGACAGGACAAGACAGAACAGGACATGACAGGACAGGACAGGTGTTCAACGTTTGGTAAGACAGGACATGACATGACAGAATAGGACCGAGCTGGTTAAAATGACCAATTTACCCCCAATGACATTTCAAGTACATAACTACATATCAGACGAAACAATAGGCAAAATCGAGTGTGTTGAGAAACAGTAGGTAAAATCGAGTGTGTTGAGAAACAGTAGGCAAAATCGAGTGTGTTGAGAAACAGTAGGTAAAATCGAGTGTGTTGAGAAACAGTAGGCAAAATCGAGTGTGTTGAGAAACAGTAGGCAATATCGATTTATCAATCGAAATAGTAGGCAAAACAGTAGGCAAAATCGATTTATCGGTCGAAACAGTAGGCAAAATCGATTTATCGGTCGAAACAGTAGGCAAAATCGATTTATCAATCGAAACAGTAGGCAAAATCGATTACCAGCTATGAAGAAGACGACGAAGATGCAGGAGACGGTGGAGATGGAGGCGGAGGCCGGCTGTGAAGAATACCCAGTTCATCATTGATCAAAAATCACAATACCCAGTTCGTGATTCATCAAACGAACAAAAACCCAATTCGTGAAATCCAAATAGAACACATAGAAAATCGAGAGAAATTCACCGTACCTTTGTTCTTGGATGCTGTGAAGAAATCGATGGAGATGGAGGTCTCCTGTGAAGAAATCGATGGAGATGGAAATTGATGGAGATGGATATCGATGGAGATGGAGGTGGACTGTGAAGAAATCGATGGAGATGGAGATTGATCGAGATGAAGGTCTCCTGTGAAGAGATCGATGGAGATGAAGGTCTCCTGTGAAGAAATCGATGGAGATGGAGTGGACTGTGAAGAAATCGGTCGAGATGAAGATCGATGGAGATGAAGGTCTCCTGTGAAAGAAATCGATGGAGATGGGTATTAGGTTTAGGGTATATTTGTCAAATATGTCTTATTCCACTTAGTTCCAGGGGGTGAGGGTGAACAAGCTTGTCCCACACATGTTCCACTTAGTTCCACTTAGAAACACACCAAACATGGGACAAGTGTGTCCCACCCTGTTCCACGTACCAAACGCACCCATAGAGATCTAACCATAGGGATTAAACATGCAATTTACTCAAAAAGACATGATCGTTGAATTTTAGAAAAGGACTTAGATTGTTAAAAACATGTAACCATAGAGACTAAACATGCAATTTACTCAAAAATTATAGATGGTCAGCTTTCGTATCGGTCTCCAATGATGTTGGTCCCTAAAGCGTAGAACGGCCGACTTCATAGACGTCTTCCTACTGTTTTCTAACCCGCGATTCTTCACGTAGCTTCCAGAACCTTCTTTCGAAATCCAAACCCTTACATAAATCAACGATCGCCTGAATTACTGTTTTCTCTTATCGACTTGATTGTGGTTGCAATAACTATAGGAAACTGAACAGAGCCTGTAATTAGGGTTGGCTTTTTTGACACAAGGATATGGCGAAAGAGGGACCTAACTGGGACGGTTTGCTCAAGTGGAGCATTGCTAATTCGGATGGTACTGGAACTGGTAGAAACTTAAGGTACGCACATCCCCCTATCAATTTCTTTATCTGTTTCCTGTGAATTAAGTTTATTGTTTGTTTGTTTCAATTTGATGATGTTTACTGTATGTGTAGAAATTTGTCCAACTAATTAATTGATCTTGTTAATTAGATCATTTTCCTTTTTAATTCAGAAAGGGATGTTTGTTTGTATGGAATCTTTGGGTTCTTTCTGATGTTTGTGAGTTAACATTTGATAGAAAATAAACCTTGTGCTTGGAACAGTGAAGTGTTCATGTATTTGTCATGTCCTGGATCCATTCTTGCTTAGTTTTGTTCCAATGAAAGTGACAGATGACATTTTAAGGAAAAAAATAATTAAAAAATTGCCTTGATTGTTTGTAGGCTGTGGTATGTAGTCTTGTTTTCTATGAGTTTCAAATAAAATCAGCAAGGATTATACCTTTCTTTGTGCAGTGTATTCATTACTCCATTAAAAAGAATGGTTCACTGAAGAAATCTTGGGACAAAATCGATAGGTAGAGAAGCTTAGGGTTAACAAAGTTTATGGGAAGGCTAATTTGGTTTTATGACTCGGGTATCTTTATCATTAGCTATTTCTTTTTTTGATCATAGATCTAAGGAATAAGAAGGGACAAGATAAACTTTCTATCTAGAAGAAGAGTATGATGGCATAGAATTTATTCGAGCTTCTGGGCCCCACAGAATTCGACATGTATAAGGGGCCTTTGTCCTTGCCAAAAGAAAAAAGAAGAAGAAAAAGGAGACAAGATAAGCCATGGGGTTTGGGAAGAAGGTCTTTGTAATGTATGGGATTGTGATTATATATATGTATGATTGCGAAGAAACCTGTATGCAAACAAATGTCAGACGGAAAATAGTTTTGCCTTAAGGTTAAGGTGTTGTAGGATCTTATTTTCTTTATTTAGTTATGGATGATAACCTGGTACACATATATTTTTCTTTGAGTTTATGTGTTGACTGTTAGGATAGGGAATGTGTCAATGCAAGGCTGGAGGCATAAAAACATTGTAGGATGTGTGTAAATGGAAACACTGTATGCAGTTAAATGGCCAAATAAGGTATAATTGGGAGAATATGTTCCATTAAACACAAGATTGATCGGAATTTTAGGACTCTTGAACTTTGGATCCCGAAGTCGGTTTTCAGTTGTTGATTTTTGACATTTTAAAGAGAAAATTTTAGCTTTCCTCTTTAAAATTTCTCTTAGGTCTTAGATTTAGTGGCCTCAAACCTTGCTATATATTCTACCAGTGACATTGAGGTCAGACTTTCTAAATAAGTTTGTATCTCTCTTATATATTTTAATATTAAATGTTCTGCAATTCATTAGATTGAGCGGGTAATTTTTCCATCGTCTTCACCTTTTGAGGGTTGTGACATTTATTTTTTTTCTTTATTATTGTTATTTAGTGAGGAGGATCGGAAATGGTTCATGGAAGCTATGCAAGCTCAAACAATTGATGTGGTTAAACGCATGAAAGAAATAACTCTGGTTATGAAAACTCCTGATAACGTTTTGGAGGAGCAAGGTGTAACTGCAACAGATATTGAAGGTATAGTTAGCTTTCAAGACTTGTGCATGATATATGTTTCTGTTCTAATCTTACTGAGGTTTATGTGATGCTAATTTTCTTTGCAGATATGTTGGAAGAGCTTCAAGAGCATGTCGAGTCTATTGATATGGCCAATGGTGAGATTTTCCTTCCATTTTTTAATATTATTACTGTTTTTACTGTCTTCAAAGTCAGTCTGATTTACTTTGTACATATTATGTTCTTTTAATATTCCATCAAAAAAATGTATATTGGAATTTTTCCATTTGTTGGTTGAGGTTTGTGTTTTAGGCTCAGGCCTGTGATGCGGGTTTCAGCTATAACCTGCTGTACAAGTTGTTGGCAATATGAACCATGGTTCCATACTTCAATGATTGGAATATAAATAAATGAGTATTTATTCTCTATATATTTCTGTGGTTAAGAGATTCCTGGTTCATGCTATTGGTTTTGGTTTATTAGATTATGAACGGCCTGTTGGGTCTTCTAAGCCATAAGAGGCATCTGATCTATATGGTGAGAATAATTTATGGCATTCACCCATGTTACCAATCACAGTCATATCCTATGGTGAAGGAGTGTATGTAGTTGTTATGGGAGATATATGTAAGTAGCCACATTTTTTATATATGAAGGAATGGTGGTGAGTTTGTTGGTGAATTTGATGTGTGCTATAGTTTTGCCCAAGTGAATTAGTAGTTTAGTATGGGTCATACTTAAAAGGCCATGTTTGTCAAGCATAAGCTAGCTTATTTTTTGAGCTTGTTGAAAAAGCCTTGTTTGGTTAGCCATAAACTTAGAGCAAGTTTATGAAAAGCTACTTCAAGTAACGTATCAATAAGTTTCAGGTGCTTTTTTCCATTTCATAGTTATATCGTGTGTTTTGATGTTTTCAACATATGTAAATTGTATGGTTGAATTAGAATCATTTGCTTCAATTCTCTTAACTTCTCTTGCAGGCTATATGGTCTTAATATAGTAATGATCTTCTACGTATGTGAAGTGTCCAATCATGACCTGTATTATTGGTTATCCTTGTGTATCTGAAATAGAGTATTCTTTGACATTTCTGAATGGGCAAATTGCATAAAAAATGCAAAGTATTTTAGTCTGATTTCTATTTTGGTAACAGACTTTCAAAACCTTCATTTTTAGCTAAGATGTAAGATTTCAAATACTTTTAGACATCCGGTTACATCTGAGAATGCATGAAAAATGCAACGTACTTTGGTCTGATTTCAATTGTGTGTACCGTATTTTGGTTTAAATCTTTGAGATATTATATCTGCGGTACCAAAATGAAGGTTCCCGAAATACATGAAATTGGACCAACAAAGTACATTGCAATTTTCCTTTTCCGTTTTGACAGTTTCAGCCTATTCCTCGAGTCTCTTACATGACAAGGACTGTGTAATTAACTTATGCTTGTTTTGCCAGATCTGAATTCTATTGGTGGTTTGACCCCTCTACTCAACTATCTAAGGAACTCCCATGCTAATATACGAGCCAAAGCTGCAGAGGTTGTGAGTACCGTTGTCCAGAACAATCCCAAAAGCCAGCAATTGGTTATGGACGCAAATGGCCTCGAACCTTTGCTTTCTAATTTCGCTTCTGATGGTGATATTACTGTTCGGACCAAGGCACTTGGTGCGATATCCTGTGAGTAATCCTTGCAAATTTCTTTGCTCGTTTTCTTAAATGACAACTGATATGACATTGATTGTATTTTTATGGTTAAATTCAGCTCTGATCAGGCATAACAAGCCAGGGATTGCAGCATTTCGTCTTGCAAACGGCTATGCTGCGCTGAAAGATGCTCTAAGCTCGGGAAATGTCAGATTTCAGAGGTATGTATCTGCTTATAACCTATTGTAATTTGTCAGAACCTTTAGGGTGTGTTTGCTACGTGGGACCAGACAAGAACTTGTCCAACTTCTGGTGTGGCAATAGACTGGGACCGAGTTGGACAAAGATGCATTTTATTGTCAGGACTCTATTTTCAAGTGCAGTATGTTTGGTTTTATTAGCCTAAATTTTTGTGTGAAATGGGTTCAAATGCAGGAAAGCACTTAACTTGATCCAATACTTGCTTCAAGAGAACCCGAGTGATCGCAATGTTGTTACAGAACTCGGGTTTCCACGCATCATGACACATCTTGCCTCGAGTGAAGATGGGGAAGTACGAGAAGCTGCATTAAGCAGTCTTTACGAGCTTTCCAAGGACAAAACAGGAGAAGCAGATAATAGCGTACACGTAGATGATGAAAAACTAAAACAAGTTCTTCAAGATCGGATCAACAATATCAGTGTGATGTCATCCGAAGATCTTGCAGCTGCCAAAGAGGAACGACAGCTTATAGACTCCTTATGGACCACACGTTACAACGAACCATCGTCTCTTAGAGAGAAAGGACTCGTCGTTCTTCCTGAGGATAATGCACCAGCCCCGGATGTAGTCTCCGGACTTCTCGAGTCTCCCCTTAGGGCACCAAACCGACCAGCTGGAAATGGTAAAAATTCTGAAAAGAGAGAAGCACCATTGTTACTTGGTCCTTGACTGCGAATGTGAACCAGCAGCAGGTTGGCTGGTTGAACTTGATGTTTTGTTGTTTCCACAATTGGCCTGGCTCGGGCTTACTTCATTTGGGCTCGATCTTTTGTGTTTGGCCGTCTTCTGAAATATTGCTTTTTATGCTACATCTACATTTGTAAATGTATCGAATATTTTCGCTGTTACGTTCACAGAATCTAAATTGATTTGTAAGTGTCAAAATATACGTTCAAACCCTTTCAATTCAGAGTCCTCCAATTCGAAATGAAATCTTATTCATAACAATCTAATTTTAAATGATTAAATTCTTGAACTATTTTTCTGAAAGAAAAGCCCCCATCAAGTTCTCTTTTTTAAATGAAAAATTTATTAAACTTTCTTATTTTGATTGATTAGATTTCTATACATTTATTTAATAAAAATATCATCGTACTTTTAAAAATTAGTTATCTATATTCTTTTAACCTAAAGAAAATTATTTAATCAAGTGATAAAAGTTTGATGGTTTATTTATTTTAAAAAATTAGGGTTAATCATTTAAAATATAAAAATTTAATGATTTTTTCATTCAAAAAAATAGTTCAATGACTTAATCATTCAAAATAAGAAAATTTAATAAAATAAAAAAGTTTAATAGTTTTTTCATTAAGAAAAATATAGTTGTAAGAAATAAATAAGTCTTATTTAATTATTATTATTATTATTATTTTTATATATAGAGAGAGAGAGGGGGGAGAGAAGAAGAGGAGAATGTTTACTTTGCAAACCACGTTATTTGTACAAACTGTACAAACTTCGTTCAATCAATTATAATTTTTTATTCTGTTCATTTTTTTTGTAATTATGAGAGATTGATTAATCATTTTTATTCTGGAGAGTGTTAATCATGTATATTTTCATCTTCATTTTGTTAATTTTAGAGAAATATATGAAACAGTTTCACTAAAATTTATTAAATACTATATGAAACAATTTCATAACCATATATGAAACAACTTTATCAAAAAGATAATATTATATAAAATAATTTTATAAGATTAAACCATGAAATCGACGAATAAGGATGGTTTACATGATTTATACGAATATGAGTTGTTTGCATTTGATCGCGCTTTCTGTATTCAAAACTAAAACTGTAAAGATTTTTTGAAGGGTGTTGCAAATGAACCTTGAAATCGTTTACAATAATTTTTTGGCCCAAGGTATTACACAAGGTACAAACGACTATTTTGGACTGTTTGGTAGTTGTTGAATGATTTGGTGCAGAATAATTAAGAGTCTCTCATGATATAGTGAAACATAACATATAATTGTTTGACAATTGTTTACAACAAAATTAGGTCGCTGAATGGTTAAAGAGAGGCGCATGATACAAAATCATTCAGAAGATTTTAAAACCATTGAAATGCAGACTTTTTTTTCCCAAACAAGATTCGTCTCTTTAACGATTTAGAAGTTGTCTTTTAATGGAACTATTAATAAGTAAACAAACAACCCCTTAATTTCATATTCGTGAATTTCTTCTAATTATAACTGATTCATCATCAATGTTACAATCAAACTAACCATCTATTCATCACATCCACATTCAACACGACTCATTTGGGAGGGCAAAACGTGATCACATATCGCGAAGCCCGACACTTATTAAGACTCGACGAGTCGTCAAATGCGTAACTATACGCTTTCGGGCATATCGCCTTAAAAAGATGCGCGAAAAGCGTTGGCTTACATGCCTTCGGATTCGCGTATTCCCCCGTACAACAGTATTTCGGCGACGCCATTGCCAAACACGCGCTTTTGCACCCGACGACTTGCCCGCCGATCTTCACTTCGAGAGCGGACGGACAACAAATGTTCAAATCGACTTCACACGCCGCCCGGCCGCACCCTACGCCACCGCCAACCGGTGCCATCGTAACGGGTATGTTGAATCCATCTACCAAGCTCACATCATAGAAATGCAAGGGGGATGTGGATGATCCAAAGGTCATTTCCACCACCGTAGCTGGTGGTTCACCGCCGGTGCCGTGGCAGAGTAACTGGCCGGAACAACCACCGGTGACACAACTGCCTTTGCCGTTGCTGTCGAAATGACAACCTTGCCTTGCCCATATTCTTCCAGACCATTTATCCGGCACGTCAATGACTACTTCCTCCGCACCACCTAGATGGAAACCACCGTCTTTTGGGGCAGGATGGCCGGCGCCGCCTTGTAATCCAGGCCAGATGCTTTCCCGACAGTTGTTGACTAGAATCAGCTGAACCCCATCTGCAGGTAATTAATTGATTAAAACAGTCAATGAAGAAGTTGTGTATATATATATATATATATATATATATATGAAGATAGAGTTGAAGTTAAATATGATTCATACATGAGGTGAAGAAACGATGGAGGAAGATGCAAATGAAAAGAATGAAGAGAGAAGTAGCCATTGTTGTGGGTAAGATAGCTCTGCAAGTTCTCTGTGTACTGTGAGTGTAAATGGTGGCTGATGAGTATATTTGTAGGGGCGTCGCTTTCGCTTTGTGGGAGTCAAAAAGAGTAATCCGTAGATAGATACATAGATGCATTGCTTCCACCGGAGGGTTTTTGCAACATCCAAAGTGAGACACAAAAAAGAGCAAATACCGTATAGTGCTACATATAATATGTGTGTGTATATATATATATATGTTTATATATAAAGAGGTTGGTTATTATAAAACCCTTGACATTTGTATAATCAATACAACTCAATCTCAATCCACCATTTTATTTTATTAATATGTGATTTCATAGAAGTTTTGATTGTTTCATAATATAAAGTATTGATCATAATTAATGAAACAAATTCATCTTCCATAAATATTCAAATCATAATAAATAAACTCTCATCATTTTCATAAATATCTCAATTTATTGAGTTGCATTGATTGTACAAATGCGATAGGTTGTATTTGAAACAAACTCTCTCTCTCTCTCTCTCTCTCTCTATATATATATACATGTATAAATCATTTGAGAACTCCAAAATTTATGAGATAGGCTTATAACTTCTATCTAGATGTTTTGTTTCTAATATTGTTTTCTGTATAAATATAGTACTTAACGTATTAATTAACATACATTAGTTTCATAATTTGTTTTTTTTTCATATGTATTTGATTTACAATATGAAACTTTTTAACATGTATTTTTTGTTTCATAAACACGTCAAAAGGATTAATCAATATTCTAAATTCTAATTTTAAATGGAAAAAAATCATATTAAATAACACGTACAAGTTCTCAAGGATATCACAATTTTATGGGTTCTCAAAGAAAATGTCCATATATACATATACATAGACAAAGTATTGTGTGAGAATGAGAGTTAAGGTGAGAATGGTAAGAACGGATCTAGATCCTTGATCCCTTTAAATCTCAAACCCACCCATGAATCGCATGCTTGATACGGGGATTGCTTCGGTGCATTTCATCCTAATGTGCATCCAAGGATGGAGATGTCTTCTTATGCTTCTCACCATAATTCTCGTTTTCACCGAAACCCAACCCTATATACATATACATATATAGAGGGTCTTCTTTTAAGAACTTGCTAAATTGTGAGTTATGACGAGATCCATTTTTAACCACAAAAAATTAGTTGAGAAATAATATATATATATATATATATATATATATAGAGAGAGAGAGAGAGAGAGAGAGAGAGAGAGAGAGGGATGTTATTCTACAACATTTGCCATTCCTACACCCTATACAACCCTCATTTCAACCATTCAATTTTTAATCAAATAATTGTTTCCTAATATAAAGTATTAATCATAATTAATAAACTCTATTCATATTCCATAAATATTHAAAWYATMATAAATGAACTCCAATCATTTCTATAAATATCTCAATTAATTGGGTTGCAAAGGTTGTACAAATGCACAAGGTTGTAAAAGAAATATACCCTATATATATATATGGGCCTAA